GCTGGTTTATATTTCAGGTAATAATAGGAGATGCCTAGATGCTTACTTCAGTTTAATTACTTATGTAATAATAGAGTAAATCTGTCACTTTCTATATTTGAAGAACTGGAGATAAATGTTGAACCTGGATACTCAGGTGATGCAAACTGATTTTTACAAATTCCGAGAATTTACCTGCATCTCACTAATGCGCTCTGAAGTGATGCTGTAAAGAGGCCTTTTGATGTTGTGTCAGGAGTAACCAACCTAACAGTCATAACAGCATATTCCTTGATGCAAGAGCTGTAAAGCTGAGCTGTTAATCTAAGGAATCGTACAAGGCTTTTGAGACTAATATCACCATATGTGTATACACGGTGAAGGTTTGATATGGTTTTAAGGGAAGACAGGCCATGAAAACCTTTCTTGCTCTGGAGCCCACACTCCAAATTTAGAGCCTAAATTCCCATGTGCTTTCACCTGGAAATAATGCACTCTCTATTTGCCAGTCGTTCACTTACATATGCCTCTTTCTCAGTTTGCTTACTGCTAGGAATATAATGTAGTTTTCAAATAGGCCAGCGCCAGGAACCTGAACTCTGCAGTCTGGGATAGCTTACCAAAATCCAAATTACTAAATGATATACTACTGGATAAAGGCTTGTAAGCATCTGGAAACATTCAGACTCCACAATTAGCATTCTGAAGGAGAGTTTGTATAACAAACCTCTGTCAGAGCACTGCTTTACTATTTGTCTCTGGAGCCTTGCCTAGAGAGTGTGCATTCCAACATGCCTTATTGTTGTTGGTTGATACTGTCTATGTCCTGTTCCTTGGTAAAGCAGAAATGTGTATGTTTCAAGCAAGTAGCTTGTTTGCAGCTGATCCCATGGTGAATAAGCATCTTTACTTGCCTTTAAGTTCTTAATATACATATCTACCTCTTGTCAGCTGCAAAATTAATGAAGTCTGGTTCTTTATCCAGACTGTAGCTCTTCGGTGCTTGATCCTAACTGTAATTCAGATCTGACAGTTTCAGCAGAGTCTATGTACTGCAGAACAGAGAGGAGGCACAGGGCATCACTCTGCCCCTTTGGCATGTCTGAAAGCTCTGGGCATCTTTAACAGTTACATGGTGGTATTCATTAAGTAGGGTGTCCATTTGTAAGGCAGGTGTGCAAATATTCCTGTTAATTCTTTCTATGGCTGGTCACCAAGAAGCTTTTCAAGGTGTGTAAAACAATCTCAGCCTACTTTTCCTGTCTTCAGTTTGCATACAGAAAGCCCGTAGTTCCAATCTGCTGTCTTAGATAAGTAATATACTTGTACTGTGAGACTTGCATTTACAAAATAGCTGTATAAAATTTTTGTACCATTTACCTCCCTCCCAATTAAACTTGACTCAATAAAAGCATCCCTTCTGTGTTTATATGCCTGCCAAGCCACAAAAACAACCCACCAATATGTTCATATGCTGCTTTCTGCAATAGATGATGGTCAGGAAATTTGGGAGCCTTGTGGGAGAACTTGGTGCCATCTTCCTTTGAATAAATTAAGGCTTATAGTTTGGTGCTGTTTTGAAGAAAGTGTGATTTTTAAATTCTGCAGGGAAACGGTAGGAGAGTGTGAACTGAGTGACAAATGTGCAGGAAATCAAGATGTTGGAGTTCAAGGTGCTGCATGTGAAGAGCTATGTCATGACACAGACTTAATCGTCGGGGATAAAAGCCTATCCTTTAGATTTAGTTGCAAATAAATGAAGCCCAGCACTGGTGAAATGGTAGAATTTTGTGCTTCATAACTTCTAATTTGGCCCAGTTCAATATAGAGCCTCTTAAATTAACCCTTTTCATTTGCCCAGGACATTTGCTGGTCTTCCTCTACGTTGGCTGAATTATGTTGGCATCTAGCTGGACTTTGTTTATTCTGATCATTCCAGGTTCAGTGATCCATCCAATTACTGCATGGGGAGATAGTCTAGAAAGGCTTCCAGGTTAGGTATCATCAATAGAGTTCTGAAGGATTGTTGAGTTTGTTTTTATAAATTATCAATTCTTTATGTAGCTAAATAGTAATAACATTTACTCCCTGTCTATGTTGGGGAAATAAACAAAAGATGCCAAAGTAACTGGGGGGAGGAGGGAAGGATAATCTTCAAATAGCTGTTCTGATCGTAGCAGTGAAGACTTTTTTTTCTTTTTTACTTACCAGATCAGTTTATTCATGTCTGGGGAAGGGCAGTGATACTGGGGAAAAACCACAACTCTCTTTTTGTGAACATAAAAGGACCAAAACAACTGATAAAAGTTTTAGATGAATTTGCGGAAATATTGAGGTATTGCTCCTGAAAGAGGGTGACTCTGTAATATAGCTAGTATATACAGCAATACCCTTACAGCTTAACCATCAGTCACTGTTCTGAGAGTTCCTGTCCACAGTAAGGTATAGAACAGCAGCCCATGGAGGTAAATTGCAAGTCTCTGAAGCTGGGTGGGTGAAAAACAGACCAGGGCTCAGAAGTGCTGCTGGGTGACAGTCCAGAATCATCCTGGAGGAAAGAGCTCTGCTGGCTTAAGCCAGCACGTGGCTCGCCAGTTCATGCCATTACATGCCATTAAGCCAGTTCATGCCATTACACTGGTCAGAGGGTGTGTTGGGACAGATCTGGAAATGGACTTTGGCTGTGTGAATTCTTTTGCTTGTGACTAGATCTCATCTGCAGTCAGCAATAAACAAGTCTTTTTTTCATTAGATGTGGCTGTAGTGGAGAAACACAACGTAAGTGCTGTTCAGTGATTTTGAGCTGGTGATCAATGTGCTTTTCTTCTAGTTATCCTTATTTGAAGACTAGAATGGAAATCAGGCTTGTGGTAATTCTCAATGCCTTCATGGCACCTGTACTAATTGTAGATGAATGTGGGTGGCCTCAGTTGAGCACAACAGGGAAGATGGCTGCGTAGGAACATAGCTCCAGTATTTATCAGTTAATTGGCTCCTTAGTCAGTTGTACCATGCTGTTAAAATAACTGTCGTGCCTTTCCTTTCCCCTACAGTATCACTAGTGGCCGTGAATGAGTTTGGTCAGGGAACTGATTCTATTACCAACCAATTCTTTTTGAAATTTATCTTCAGGAGTATCCAGCTCTGTAAGTTACTGCCAGGGCGCCGATGCTGGCAAGAGGGACAGTGGTAGGCTGGAAAAGAGCCTGGGGAGGAACTGCCTGCTTGCCAACTGCCCCATGCTTACGTTGAGTTAATGACTGATAAGTTGTTCTTTATGCTTGGGTCAGTTGAAAGGAAACAGATGTTATCAGGTCTCTTGAGAAATAAATACCTGATTACCAAAGATGTTTGGCTGGGTAAGGTACTGCAGATGCTTATCATCCAGCAGATCTGACCAAAGCGGAGGGATTATTTTCCTATAAGGACATAAGATGTCCTTATGTCAGGACATCTGGTATAAAACCAGGTTCTTTTTCTTTACCATCGGTGCTCCTGACTCAATTCAGAGATCACCTTCTATTGGTCTTCCCAGAATCCCTTGTAGGTGTAGAAAGAACAGGGCACGTTTTCCTCCAAATAAAATCTTTTACATATTAAAAAAAGGCAGATCAGGAATTTCAGCTACTCTTTTCATACAGATGTAGCAGAAATATTTTTTAAATCGACAAATGTTATAAGAATCATGAGTTACCTGCTCTGAGCAGCTGTTAATGCTGTCTGCTTACTGTCTCCATTCCTTCTCTCCTCTCAACCTGCAAAGGTAAGAAACACAGTTTTCCTGACATTCAGAAAGATACTCCCTGTTTCCGTCAAAACTGGTCTCTCTTGCTAACATTCCTATGCTAGTAAAGATGTGAATAATATTAATGACCAAAAAGAATACACTTTCAAAGCATGCAATGAAATAAAGGTGAATGGAGAGATTTTGCTGTGTTAAAAACTATCAATTTAGGTTGCTTCTGAAAAGGCAACAGCCATCCAGGTGCCTTGGTTCAGGGAAACACCGTGGATTAGCTCTGGTTTTTTGCATGGTACAAAGCTGTCTGTGAGCTTAACCTTTGACCCCTAGTAAGGCCCATACAACCAGACCATGCTCATCTGTCCCTCCCAGATAACGAAGTATGAGTAGCTGACTGTATACATTTTTCTTTCATGTATATTTATATGATCACTTCCTTATAAATAACTTCTATGGAGCAGAGATTGAACTGTTCTGAAGTAGTCTTTGATGCTTCATTCACAGGGAAATATGGACCTGTATGTATTGTTTGCAATGCGTGCTCAATTTTGTAAATCTTGAGGCATTTTTTGACTAAACAGGATAAGAGTCAAAGAAATAAGCAATGTAAAATTTGTGCTTGAGTTTCTTGATATTATGGTAGTCCTGGTAACTTCTGTTCAGTATCAACTCTAAAAGCAGACCATGAAATGTCTGCAGTGCCAGCTGCCAGGCTATCCATCAGCTGGGGTGGGACAGTGGAGGGAATGACCTCTCCAGGAGGAGACTGCTTTGGGATTGAGAAAGGCTGAGCAGGAAAGACATACAGATATGAGAAAATAGTAGGATAGCAGAAATAGTGGTGGTTGGAAATAGGCTTTTTCCTTATCCAAATTATTTGCTAGAGTAATTGAGATTATCAGTTCCTTCAACAATGAAAAAATAACTTTGAATGCACATTTTACTGAAGGAGTTGAACATCAAAAGATGTCCATAAATCCTGTAACTTGGCAAATGGAAGATTTAAGTATCTGTGGGAAAGAGATCAGATGCTCCACTTCATATTTACTCACATTTATTGTCTTTAAATTACTTTTTATGCAGGTAATTAGAGAGTCTTTTAAGAGAACTAGAAACCAATAATTTGAATATAGCATGCACTTTGAGTTGCTCAACAAAAGGACCTGAATTTTGTTCTAGATAAATATTATAGGACCTGTGAAAAAAGTTTTCTGCTCTTTATGGCTCTATTTCAATACTGTTTACTAACAGAAACATTTATCTCTTTTTTTTTTTTAAGACCTATTCAGGGCTGTTCTGCGTAGTTATAAATCCTTACAAGAACCTCCCAATTTATTCAGAAAACATTATTGAGATGTACAGAGGGAAGAAGCGCCATGAAATGCCACCGCACATTTATGCAATATCTGAATCTGCATATAGATGCATGCTACAAGGTAAGAATTAATTAAATGTTACTTAACAGTTAGTTGACAACTCTTTGTAATGTACCTAAAACTCGGGAGCTTCATTGTCCAGATATATAGTAATTTCTAACATGATCAGAATCTTTTCTAGTACTTTAAAGGGAGGGGGGGGAAGCTTTCTTACCCAGAACCTCAAACTTTCAGAATAGAAATAATTGGAGATTGACTCCTGTCGGCATATTTGTCGGACTTACTGAGGCACAGAAGCAAACTAACACTAATAGGAAGCATACTGTGCCAGCTGGTGGCACTGAAAGTTGCAGTAGAAATACTTTCTTCTTAAAGAAAGAAGAGATAAGATTCATGTCAAAAGATGTTAGTGCACTGGCTTTGAATGAAGTAAGAATGAAAAAGTGTGATTGAAAAGGGAAAGCTAAAGTATGTTAATGACTTGTCTCTCTAATTCTACAAAAATGTTGGTGTCTTGGCAGCTGACAAATAATCTGAAGTGACAATGAAACAATAGTATGTTTGCGTTCAAAAAGAGGTCAGGGAAATGCTTAACCTTGAAGATTTTTTTTAAATTTTTTTTTTTCTTCTCCAAACTGGTATAGGTCATGTCTGTAGTAGAATAGAGAGTAAGTTTATGAATTTTGGCTTTAAGGCTGTGCTGGACAAATACGAAAACTGGGAATGTGACTTTATATAAATGTGTTGAAATAAATGCATGCTGTTGAAATTGTAAAATTGCATTTCTGACATAGTATGTTGGAAACACAGCTCCTACCATCCAATATTGGTTCACATTTAGGTGGCTGTTTTACCGATCTGGAAACACGAGCATGTTGTATCTAGAAAAGCGTGTGTAATGAAGAGGCAGGTCTGAAAAATTTACCGTGTTTTCTGCTATAGACCTGGTATAGATGTACTGGAAGTAGGTTAAAAGCTATTTGACCTAGTTTACACAAGCTAAGAAAACACTGTTTCTGCTACCAGGTTAACCAACCATTTAAATGTAAATCTTATTAAAAAAGACATTTCCTGTCTTTAAATAAATCACTGTAAGTCTTTGTTTCTTCAGTTCTGCCTTTGTCTTCAGGGCTGCTTAATAATAAACTATAGGTTGCTGGATTGCTGAGTGCTTTTCCACCCCAGAAGAAACTATGCTGGTGCCACTGAGTATGGTGTTGGAGGGGCAAGCAATGGAAGAGCAGCAAATTGGGGCCACCAAGAGTTGTCACTCTCAACAGATATTTGGGGCTCTGTTTTTATGTGTTTTTATGAAAGAAAAACTATGGCCTCTTGACCAGAACAACAGCCTCTGACAGCTCAGATCAGAGGACCCCTGATAACAAGTGTATATGGAAGAATAGAGCAAACTTTAAGATTATTTTAAGGAGTTTATTCCTAGCAGTCTCAAGTGGCTTGTGGATAAGAGCTTCCCACTCTAAAAGCACAATATCTTTTGAAATTATCTCAAGAACTTTTCAAAAGTCCTCTAATAAAGTAAGTCAATGTCAGTAGTTATCACACTTCAGGTGCTCTATATATTTGTTCACATACCATGCTAGTACTGATTTATAATCTCTGGAGATCTTGCTACATGTACAAATTTTACTATTTTTGGAAGATGAAATGAAAAAAAAAAAATTCACATGATGGTCTATGTTTGGTTACAGTCTTGTTTTCTTTCCATACTGATATATGGAGGTTTACATTTTGTATCAAATCTCTGTTTGTGTCTTTCTGTGCTTGCTTTCTTTTTGGTTTTGATTATCTGAATTCTTTTCATTTGAAAGAATGAAGCCATAGATTGGAATAAGAATAGATGAAAACTATGCAACAGGATCAATTTTTTAGGGAATAACTTTTTCAAGGTTAACTAAATCTGTGTTTCTGGTGCCCTTCACCTGTATGGAGCTACTCCCTGCTTATTTTGGCAAGTGATGGCAATCAGCCAGTAAACTTTATGTTGGTGGTTTGCCTTCACAATTGCATTGCCAAGGATAAGTAAAAACTCTAAAACAGGCATTAGCAGTTTTGCGCTTGGCAAACATTTTACTGAGCAAACTGTTCTTGCCTGATTGGGTTGGATCAGAGGAAGAGACCTCCAGAGGAAGAGAAAAACAGTGCTGCTTCTGAATTTACAATGGACTCATGAAGCTGTTTACAGACACTGCTTCCTTTAGGAGGAAGGTGGTGTACAGACTTCTTTCAGAGATATGCTTGCCTGAAGTGTGAGACTCACTGCTATTTGTATCGGTGATTTTATACAATCACCCTGGCTTTACATAGTCTTGTGAAGCAGTGATCAGCCATGGTGAGAATGACTAGCAAGTATTTGTCTGAAGTGGGGTGAGTGGAGAAGTCTGGCACTGACATTGCTCAGTGCTGGTCCCTCTGCTTCCAGAGCTTCTAGATGGGACCTGATGCAGAGGCACTTCAAGGAACTGAATTTAAGTCTCCATATAAATAAAACTTGCAATTAAAACAACTAAGGTTTTCTGGTCATTAGGACATCAAATAATACTTGTCTTAACAGTAGGACATTATTAGTGTTCAACTTTTCTTTGGTTATCAGTAGCAACACAAGGTCAACTACAGAGTGTGCTTAGAATTTGGTAGGGAGAGCTAGGTTCTCCCTGCCAGCCAAGGATTTAACATAATGCACAAAGTGTTCCTCAGTCTCCTAACTATGCCTTATGTTTTGCTAGACTTTTAGTCTTAAACTAATGAAACAGAAAATATGTATCAGAAATTTTTGGCTAGTAGAAATAGATCTCTTACCAAGAACTAGCTGTATTAATCACAATGCTTCAGATTAAGTCATCAGAGTCTCTTCTACCACTTATTTGCAGCATAATCCTTGACCAAGATGCTTTTGCTGATAAGTCACTAACACATAGTTATAACTATAAAACTGTTCTACAGTTCATGTCCATGTTTGTGCATAGAGTTGCTTTGGGAGATAGATAAGGTGGTAGAGAGAGTGCGGTAGGGGAGATTAATTTTTCCAGTATTATTGCAAGTCGTGATATTGCTATTCTAGCATATGCATAGATTTCCTTTGATATGAATGACTTTTGTGTTTCCAGTATTTGACATCTAGAGTTTAATTATTAAGATTCAAACCTGAAATTGAAACCATAGGAATGCAATTCCTTTGGATAATATGACCATACTAATTTAGGTCAATGGAAATGGTTGGCTGTATTTTTCTGGCCTGTTCAGTGGTATTTTGTTCAGTATAATCATGTTTACTTTTCTTGTAGCTAATTTTTTAGGTGTTTGAGATGTGTTTACACTGATTAACAGGATACCTGGACCTGAGCTGTGACTCTGAACAGCCTGATTTCTTAAAACACAATTTTTCTGTGATGGTATTTGGGTACACTGGGAGTAAACTGTTACTCAGTATCTTAATGCTCTCATGCCTTTAATTCAGAGCATGGATGATTAGAGATCAGCTTCAAGTTTCTGCTAATCTGAAGTTTTGTATGTTTAAAATAATATTTATGCTTAAACAACAAAACATAGATTTCTGTACAGATTATGAAAGCAAAAGGCTTTTTGGTCGGCAGAAACAACTGACGCATGTGCATCTCCATAGTTATTCCTTGTCTTAAATGTTGCTGGAAATACTCCATTTTGTTAAACTGGCTATATAAATGGAGCACCGCACTTTACAGTGCGCTTTCTGTTAGGAAAAGGTTGTATGGAAGCATTGCTAACTGCCAGTCATCAAGTTGCTTCTCTATTCTTGTCCCGTTGAAGAATTTCCTGTTTAGGAGGACCTTCAGCCCTGCAGTCTTCACAGGTCAGCTCTCGTTGTGCCCTTTAGTGAGGAGGAGAATGGGCTGAAAAGCTATTTCAGTGCTTGTTAAACAGGGAGGACAAAGGGGCAGGGGGGAGAAGCCGTAAAACAGAGCATATGTTCAAGAAACCCAGTTTGCCATTTTGCAGAGGGAATAGTATTCTCCAGAGAGATCTATTGAGTTAGTGTAAGCTGTCACAAGAAAGACAGAGATGCAGAATTGTTTTTAATGGCCAAGTGTTGCAGCTGAACAGTTCAGTGGTGGTACAGCTGTGATGCAGGGATTTGAGAAACAAGTTTTGCAAGGAAAAGCAAACCTCATTGATTACTTGATCTCATAAGTGTTGCCTTTTCTGCAAGACTTGTAGTAAAGATTGAATGTGAACACAGTCATATTAAAAACAAGCAAGACTTCGGGTGCCTTCTGGTTATGACAGTCAGGATTTCTCTTCAGGAAGAGACTCATTACCTAGTGCCTTGACCTCAGAAGATAATAACATGCAATTCAGCTTTACATACTGGATTTCCCCTCTCTCTCCCCTAGTAATTATTTTTCAAAGTGGTGTGGTAGTAGGGTAAGTGTTACTTCGCAGGTGGTTTAGTGGATTTCTCTTGTACTTTCTCTTCATTTTCCTAATGTTGTGTTGAAGCAGTAAGTACACATAACCCAGAGGCTTCTAGCATATTGAAATTGTTTAGCCCTAGACAGAAATCAAATGCATAAATGCATAGGGTTGGAGTTGGTGTGCTTCACAAAAGAATGCTAGACTGAGCTTTTCACGGCTGCTGGACAGTTGACATGGTCATAAGGAATTGGTATCCTAATCCCTGTGACAACATTGACCTTAATTCTGTTTTGTAATACAATTTGCAAGACTTGCTAGTGTTCTTCTGTACTGCTAAAAGTTATAGGCAGTAAGAAGAAAACGTTTTGACAGGGACTAAGATTTTCTTCAAGAAAACTAATTCTGTAAGTCTAATAGTTCATCTATGACTATCTTTATTTTACTAGCAAGGGAGACTTGATTGTGTGAAAGCAGCACTAATACAAACTTTTCTCTAGTGCTTTTACCATACTTGGCTTTCCCTTCTCCCTCCTCCCTTCCTATTCTTCACTGTATTTCTAATGAAGCATGACATTGTTTTATTATGCCTCTTTATTCATTGACTCTTAAAAGTGCTTTGAAAGAAATATTAAGGAAAACTTGTTTGCTTT